TTAATGGTACATGTTTTATTTAAATAACCATAACTTGCTCAATTTTCTACCGATTTTCAAACGGTTTGGTTTGTTATAATCGTCAGAGATGTAGTTATGACACAGCATACTTATGAATAATAAGTGTATAAATAAATAATCATCCAGATAATTATAGCCACATTAATAACGTTTTTAAGAAACCAAACCGTTTGTAAATCCGTCAAGAAAAGAAAATTAAATAAACTTAAGTTGTACATATATTTAAGCAGATTGAACACAATCAAAATAAGTTTGGGCAAAATGGCAGTCGACTCGCACTATACTGCCACCCTCTGGATGTAATTATTTTTTACTTAACCTAAATGGTTTGTGTTTAGACAACGCGTTAGGATTTTGTACTTGAGACATTATTACATAGAAATAGAAAAAATTATATGTTTTTCCTTAATAGAAAAAAACATTTAAAGTAAAAAAAAAACACAATTATTATAAGTAAACTAAATATAAATTTTGTAAAGTGCATTTTTTTTGTGTTGCTTATTGAACTGTTGTATAAAATTAATATCACATTTTGCAATTTAGCTGATATGCACATTTTTATGTAACCTGATCAACCAACAAAAATGGTAGCTTTTTCTTAATAAATAGTTAATAGTTATATAATAGTTGAATACACTTGTGTATAATGCGCCACACATCCTGCAAACTGACTTATGAGGAGTGAACATTTATACATAGAGAAAAAGTATCAAACGTATCTTGTGCATAAAAGTTCGCTTTTCTTTTGCACGTATGTGAAATCCAACGACGCCAAGTGTGCGTTGCAGACTGTCGTTCTGTAATGGATTTAGATTAGAATCGCTAAATAGTAGGGCAACTGATGATTGAAAATGGTTTGATGTAGCTTGATGGAAAGAATTTAAAGGGTAACTAAACCCCTGGTCAGAGCCTGACTCCACCCACTGGCAATATTTAAAAATGCTGAAAAAGGGGGCAGACCCCAGCGGAGATAGAGGGGACAAAATAGATGCTAAAACACTATCCTAATCTTTTTCAATACTCGTAATTCCAACTCTTGACTCGCTACAGTGGTTTTGACGACACAAGATGGTTTTATACTGCCAAGGGCGTAGCTCGCGTGGTGAGCTGAAACCTGCGTACGTCACGAAGTGCGGAACATCCAATTCAACTGCAGTAGCCACCGTTCAACCTGAAGAGGGCAGCACTAAGACGTTTTTACACCATATATTCAGACTGATCTCATGAAGTAGCGTGTGTATGACACGCCAATTCGTATTTCCATTTTTGGCATGCTATCAAGACGCATAATCGCTTTTCAGCGTGTTTATGAACGCCATTGACTTAACGTTATTACTGTATATATAAATATATGACTTACCTCAACCCCGTCCCTAAACCTAACCGTCACTGGGGTTAATGGCATTTATGACTGTTCCCTTACCATCCTAGGAAAAAAAAGGTCGCTCCCCAGATGTAGATCTACATTTTGTTTCGTTTCGCGCGGACATTTGACGGCGTGTACAGACACGCGGAATCACTCGGACGTTAATGGCGTAGACATGCACGCATACACGCGGATAGCTCAAAATGCGTAGAGATAACACGCCCCTTGACTCGAAAGTGGCGTGTATGTTTACGCAAAAGTCATGTTGATATATTGTAGAAATAGAACACTTTATAAACAAATGTCAAAAAAAAGTTACTCGAATCAATGACTGGTATTAATAAAGATCCATTCTTACAGATCATTAACTAAAAAACGTTGGTTTAGTGTTTAGTTACTTTTTAAAAAGTGCAGGTAAAGGGGAAAGCAAGCTGACATTGTAATTATAAGGTAGCTTATAAGGCAATTAGGGACTAATTATTATTTTATTTATCAGAACTTTAATATATTTTGATGTTCCTCTGTTGTGACAATAAAAGAAACAAGTTTATTTGTAAAAATTTTAGTTAAAACTCATAAATAACTAATTTTAGGGAAATCAGTTGTGGTTTTGTTTTGCGTTTCTGAAAATAAATAAATAAATAAATAAATATCGGCCGATATATCGGAATACCGGATTTTAAAACCAACAAATATTTGTATCGATATCGGCCTTCAAAATTCTTTTATCAGTCGGGCTCTACTAGGTAGGCACTAGGCAGCTCACTAGGTTTTGAGACACAACCACAGACATCCTGGTATTCGACTGTCTTAGGCGTTTGTTTATATGTGTGGCCCACTGTCATACTGACGGCGCACAGAAAGAAACTTTCAGAAAGAGCCAACTCTAATTACTCCGTCTTTCAGTCCTCTATGAAAAATGACAGTCTAGAAGGGCAAGACAAAACAAATTAAGAGTGAAAAACAAGGGAAAACATTGAAGAGAGGGGCCGCGGGGGTGCAGGACGGGATCTGAGGGGGGTCTCTACAGTTGACACAGCACTGAAGAGCATTCCAGCGCAAGCGGAGAACAAAAGCACGCACACACACACAAGCGCACACAAACAATGGCACGAACGCTTTGAGACGCAACAACGGCACATCAGGACTCCCCCCACCCTCCTCACACACCCAGAGCGGGGCGCTGATTTCTTGTGAAGCGTCCACTGAGCCCTGGC